TCCAACTACCGGAGGATAAGGTTGACGGCGCGCACGATGAAAATGTACAAACGATTAGTCGACACAAGATTCAGAGAATTGGTTCCGATCTCACAAAAGCAGTTCGGCTTCATACCAGGAAGCCCTACAAGGCATACCATCTCCGTAGCTCGACAACTGATGGAGGAGTATCGAGAAAAGGTAGACCCTATACCTAGGTTTTCTCTGGATGAAGAAAGGGTTTGAACGCTCATTGCGACTAGTCCTCTAGCGAATGCTTCGAGAAGGAATCGTTCCAGAATTCCTCATCTTTGTAATTGAAGGCTTGTACGATGGGTTCGAGACAAATATTCGCACTCCTCACTGCCTGACAAGAAGGATAGACGTCGCAGTAGGGGTATACCAGGAAGCAGTTCTGAGCCTGTTCCCCTGCTCAAGGTGGATGGTATCAAGAACGGACCCATGGATCACTGAAGGCCAAATGTTCTGGTGAAAAAAGAGCTCCGGGTGGTGCATAGGACCAAGGCTCTTCGTTACGAGGAGTGTACAAAGCCAAAAGTAATAGATTGTCAGGGAGAAGCTAGCAAAAGAGGGTAGGTCCTTATTCAGGGAGTGACGTGGCTGCTGATGATAAGTGTGGACCAGGCTATGAAGGCCCGAATAAACGCAGCATGGGAAACGAAGAGTGTCCAGCGATATGCTCTGCAACCAGCGGTGCTACAGAAAGCTCACTCAAAGGCAAGGTATGTATGGTGGAGTGGTGAGGCTTTCGATGCTCTACTGTAGCCTATAAATAGAACGAAATGGAGACGGCCCACAAAAAAAGCGGACCCTGCGACGGCGCGGGATCAAAGCGAGGGAGAACAAAAGGGGATATTATAATTGTGGAGATCCTCTGCTATTCCACAAGTTTTAGAGTTCACAGAAAGTTGTCTTAACTGTTACGAGAGGGAAACTTCGTCGGCCCAAAGCTATTGGATTCATCGATTGCCTACTTTGGCCGCCAACCCAGCGCAGCAGCAGCGCTACTTGTAAGACAATATTCCTGGTGGGATCGTCGACTTTCCTAGGAGTATAGAAGCAGCCTTCAGTTGAAACTTCCCAGACGTTTTTCTCGTAGGATGCTGGGATCCTTACCCTAATGGGAACTTACTGCATCTATCAACAAAAATTTCTGAATGAGCACTGTTAATTATGCTTGCGTTGATCCTTTCCAATCGGAGCCTCCGATTCCCATGATTTTGCTTTTGTTATTAAGCACTCCGAGTCTTGAGGTTCTGTCAGAGCTGACTCCATTTACTTGCATTCTCTGATGAATTCTGTGAAATCTTCCTAGCCAGACGTCGAGGTAGTGTAAACGAAACAATTTACCAGCTTTTCACTACTTTTTAACACTATCTCCCCTCCGCATTTGCACTTGTCGCGAAACGTTTGGAATTTTGGAATCTACTAAGAAAAAGCTAAACTCTCATGAAAGAATAGCTGCCGTATATTTCTTACCAAAGTGGAACCGCAATCTGACCCATCTCACATACCACTCAATGCACGATTGACTGATTATACCATTACTTTCAAAGCGGAACCGTTAAGCTGAGAGGAACGAACCTGCAGAGTCCTCCTAAATGGTCATTCACAGCAAGGAGATTGCCACCCATTTTGGCAGCTCTGACGATAGCCGGATTGTTGAGGAAAGCAGTCACGTTGGCCCGTCCATGACATTTGCTATCGCACACTGTTATAGGTATAAATGATTTGCAAAGTTTAAGAGAAAGCCATGGTGAACTCAGCGACAGAGAAAAAGAGGAACGAACACTGAGCGGTTGCATCTCCGTATCTCGTGAGGCACGGCTTCACCTTCTCCAACAATGCCGCTCTTTCACCACACATCTTCTTCACGCTACTGCTAGCAATTTCGAATAGATTGTGCGTATCGCAGACTCTCGCTTTCTTCAGGCATTTGACAGTCTCTGCATGGCTTCTGAACAAACACTCGGAGCATACCCTCACAAGAGTTGATTATGCTAAAGATAATACGCTGTAAATTGAATAATTTTCAGGTCACTACTTATTTTTTTTAGGTAATGGGGGCACATTGGCACTTTGAACGTCATGAGCTATTCAAACCGCATAGAAGTAATCCGTCGAAAACTGTGGACCTGTCCTTACACTACGATATTCGCTGACCTCATATCTTTTCTCAGTAAAGTTAGCGGACGTTCATCATTATCTCTTCGAAGTGGAATGGAGTCATGATAGCCATTTAACCCGAAAACCGGAGTTGCTCACGTTTATGGCCCTGCCCCAATAGGGTTCTAGTTCACAGAGTAATCTTCCTTCGTCTGCATGGTCCATAGCTGACTGTCATTCAGTTTTACGAGATTTCTCGTTTCGGGTAATCCCGTTCAACACTTAACTAATCTGCGTTCACAACGGTAGTAGCGAGTGGAGAGAAAGAAAAAAAAGTGCTACGTTTATGCCACGTTCGCTTAGCAAATGTATTAAGTCGATGCGAAATTCTTGAGACACAACTTATTATGTGCATGTAAAATCGTTTATCTATTAGGTGTGTGCATTACTTTTCGCCGCCGAATTCCAAGGGCCGTTGCGCGAACCATGTTGGAGGTTTACCGGTGAAACCTGTCAAGTTCTGTAAGGTATGGTATTGGCTACCTTAAGGGCTGACAGGTCAGTTTTCCCTCAAAATCCTGTTGCTCTC